ACATAGGGGCTCTGGAAGGAGGTCCTTCCTGAGCCAACTCTGAGGCATCTGGACTGTGAACATGGACAGCAGAAAGACAAGTCACACACATTGGTCAGCACCAATAGCAGACTTCCTGCAGCACTGTAAATAAGGAAACACCTGAGAAGGTGGGGTTTCCACAGGCTCCTCTCTGTCTCATGGAGGAGATGCTGTGTTCAGAGGGGGAGAGATCCTGGGGAAGCCACATATTACATATCGGGGAGGTTGAGGGGATTTGGAATGCAGCCAGGAAAGGAAGAGGAGCAGCCATACTTACTACGTGAAAACAGGAGGAGGAAAGAGCTCTAGAGAGACCTGTGGAACTGGAAAGGAATAAAGATTCCACTCAAAGGCTTGGGAACAAAGGTGATCATGAAGGATGAGCGTGGGAAGAACATGGATGCAGAGGGGAGGGGCAGAGGGTGCTGGACCCTAAACAAGTACAAAATCATTTATGAGAAGATAACAGTGAAGATCAGATCAGGAGCCATCCTGAGAGCTGCACCTTGCCTGCCCAAATCAATATGAAATGCCCACCAAGGACTCAGGGCAGCTTCTTCAAACTGCCTCTTGAAAATGACATCATTCACTCACTCATTCCACATACTTGGATGGAGCCACACTGCTGTGCCAGAAATGAACAAAATGCTTTCAAGAAGAAAACTTTATGGGTGCAAAAGGGAAAGAAAGGCCTGGAAAGCATCCAGTATTCTTTGTGCATGCAGGAATGTTGGCAGTGAGCCCTTGGAAAGGCACCTGAGCGGTGACAGAGGAGAGGTGTTCTGGCCCATCTACCTCACTATCAGCACATATGGGTCTGCCTCTGAAGAGAAAGTTCCCAAAGGAAAGCACTGTAATTGATTGGAAATGCATCCGATTTATAATCAAATAAGAATACACTGGACTCACTGCCAAGGGATGCTAATCCACAAGGCTTTTCTGCACCCTAAAGGTAACCAGCTGGGATCATTAAAAGGTCTTCCTTTCCAAGTTCTAGTTAAATGAATGATTTTCTTTTGCATAGTCAATCTGCATTTCATCAACTAGAACAAGTGCAGCCTTCACGCCTTACTCTGCATGAAGCAGGCTCTGAGAAGCCTGTGCATGGTCAGCATGTAGCAAAGATAAGTTCTATGTCTCTTTCAGGCATGGAAGTCTCAAGACTATGAAAAATGGCATGCTCATTGCAAAATTATTAAATGGCACTTCATGTCACAGCCAGGACATAAAATATAGAAAACGGAAGGGAGGTTTTTATGAACTAAGAGATATAACTAAGACTGAAACTAGACTTATCGAGAGGGAAATATGAACTTAATCATGAAGAACTTAATCACGAAGAAGATCTTTGTTTGAGGGTGTGAGGTATACACAATTCCTTCAGGAATCAGTGGTGATGCAGTCATACCCTTAAGAGCTAATTTAATGACATAATGAATGTTCATCCAAAATATGACCACAGTACCTAGAAGTATATACTTGATAAATATGCTAGATATATGGTTTCTCAAACTTAAGGAAGAAGTGGTGAGATAGTGATTTGCTTCTTCATCTCAAAACTCACTATCGAAGGCATTCTCCCAGCCCCATGGAGCAGTCAGTCAGGTCTGCTGGGCAAGCAGACAGACAAAGATAGCAAGTTATAGTCACGACTGGTCTGGAGAAGGATGGGGAGTGGTGCTATTGTTCAAAATTTGGTAAGAGAATCATGCAATGCTAAGAAATGTGGAAAATTCCTCGTGTCAGAACAATGCAAAGGCATTGCTGTGATGACAAAGCTGTGAGGACAACAAAGGGGCATGTCCACGTGTGAGGTGACATGATCCATGGCACCCTGTCAGGACAGCAGCTGCTCTTGGTGAAGCTTCCAGTACTCTTCTGCTATTGTGGCTGTTGCAGTTCCTTCTCTGGGACATGTCTTAATAATGATAACTGATGGCAGGACATCATTTAGTGCTTTCTATGATTTGGATGTTGAATGTTTTCCCAAAGGCCCATGTGGTAGAAGCTTGGTCCTTGGGGTGGCATCCTTGGAGTTTGGGGAGCCTTAGGAGGTGGGGGCCAGTAGAAGAACCTTAGGTCATTGGGGACATGTGATGTTAGAAACACATTTCTTTTGCCATAACAGAGGTCAGGTAATAAAATTATTTGTCAAATTAGAAGACTATTTTCTTAAATGAAAAAGTCAATGGTTTGACTTATTTTAAATAGTGAAGTCTAGCTCTATTATAATACTTAGAGGATCATGATTATATAAATTTAAACTAAAATAGTCAGAGTACACTTTCAAGATCTTTAGAAGAAATAAAAGCCATCTTTCCTCTTAGCTAATAACCATGTAGACTGAAAAGGCAATATCAAACCAAGCTGATAGGGAATATATAAATTTCATCTTCCACAGCAAAAAACCTATTTACTGAGTATGACTTCAACTTTAACTTAAGGAAACAAAATATGTGTTCTGCAGTCAAAGAATTAATAAGGGGATGTATAAAATCTTTTTGCCATGTAAGACACATGAATTGAATTAACTTGTACATTTTATCAACTCTCTGTAAGCAGTCAGATGTCCACAGGAAACAGAAAAGAAGTATTTTATTTCACACAAAATATATATGGTGGAATACAACACGGGAAGTGCCAGACATCTTTCCACACTAGAGGGTGGTCATGCGACATTGCTGCTGCCTGTCCAGCATTCCTCTCTCCTTCTGCAGACTTGCAGAGCCACTCCCCTGTCCTGAGCAGCTGACACCCAAGTGCCAAAAAGAGGCACTGGTGGCCAGCAACACTCAGCAGAATTCCACTCACTGGAACTTGAAAGGCTAAAAAGCACAGAATGCATTCCATTCCACCCTTGGCCTCTGCCCTCTGCCCTTACTCCTACGAGCTCACGAGGCATGAAGTGAAGCACACCTCCAAGCTGTGCTCGATAGCCTCCTGCTGAAGATGTAGACAGACCTGAGAGGTCAATGGGACCTCTACATGCCAATGATTGCTGCCTATCTTCTGGCCAACTGAGAAAAATACCTGTGTATGCCCTGGCCACCTAGATTTGGTTTTCTGATTTCTCTGTCTTATAAGTGAAGTCAATCACTAACAAATAGAGGAGTTAGAATAGCATTCTCTTATTTCCTCCTTTGAGGGTTTTCCGTTGTAAGAAGTTAGGACCTGCACTTTTTAGCCTGGTGTTCATTGTTCAGGATTCTGGACTGAAGCTTCCTTGTCTTTTATACATTCCTAAGGGTGAGATTCAAAATTATGTGATGCAGACAGCCCTGAGACACAGATTTGAGTTCATAATGCCATCGGTCAGTGCCTGTTTATACCAGGGGCAGGGCCAGGGCCAGGAATGGGGAGCCCACAATAGCTGACCAATTTAGACAACACACATAGGCAAGAACAAGTATAAACAAGTCTTGTCAGCTACTGAGTTTTGGGATGACTTGTCTACAACATTACAGAAAAAGATACCCAACACAACTTTCTAGAATGAAGAAATAGTAAAAATGGCTACATGACTAATTAATCAAGAGTGACTTTCAAATTTTGGTCTGCGTAACGGAGTGCAGTAGTTGGAAGAAAACCATCTTCCTCCTCACCACCGCCATCATTAGCATCCTCATTACCATCACCATCACCATCATCATCCTCACTGTCAACATCATCAACACCATCACCATCATGACCATCATCACCATCTTCATCATCACTATCACCACCAGCACCACGATCACCACACTATCCCTGTCACCACCACCATCGCAATCATCACAGTCCCCTAAACTCAGCTTGTGTAAATGCTTACTATTTTTCTGGACTAGTTTTGTTGCTTGCATTTGGTTTTCCACTTAGCAGTTTATGATCACATTAGTCATTTCTATACATTGATTCCAAAAACTCTGACACCTCTCACCTCCAAAATGTAAACAAAACTCTAAGTGTGACCTTCATAAGTATGATTTATGAGATGTTCAACATACTTCTAAAGCTCTTCCACATAGAGGCGATTGACAAAGGTGCAAGAGTTTTTGCAAACAGGATAAGGGGGAACATGCAGGAGGAAGGCATCCATCACAGAAAGCCCTGCTCTGAGTAGTCAAGGAAACAGACTTCTGCTCCAGATTGCAGACTTAATGTTCTGCACTGTGGACTTGTGATGGCTCACTGCCTCCCCCTGCTCCCCTGCCTTGTTCCATCTCTCCTGCCTCCTGGACACTATCTTGTTTGACCCACTTCAAGACCAGCTGAAGCTCAACCTCCCTGAGGACCACTTGCTGGCAGCCATCTTCCACCTAAGTCCCTCTCCTCCTGGAAAAGGCTTCACTGTACCATTGGTCATTGTCAGTGCTGGGATTGAGATTTATAATGATCATGAGAGACAGCATTGTAGGTGTGGGAGGAGATTGGGCTGGAGGGAGTAGAGGATCCTGGAGGAGGCACTAATGGTTAAAAAGCTACTGTGGGGGTCCCAGGGAAGTTCAAGAAGGACCAAGCCAAGGATGGGATGCAGGGTACAGAGGCTGGGGACAGGAGGAGTTAAATGTCCCCCTCAAGGTCCTTAGTTGTATGACTTACTGAAAAGCATTTACTAAAACAAGAGATTTTTAATTCTCTGTCCTGCAGCAAAGCACCCAATAACACAGCTACACAGGGAAAACCGACAGCAGGGCTGTACCATCCATTCCTGGGTGACTCCCTCATGTGGCAATAGCAAGTCTTGGGTGCCAGGCTTCCAGCAGCCACATATGTCACGATATGCCATGTGAGTTGCCCACCAACAGTCCTGCTTCGCAGAGGAGGAAACTGAGGACCAAACAGGCCTAAAGACTCATCAGAAATCACACAGCCTTTACAGGCAGGGCTCAGACTCAGATTTACTTCAGCCCAGGATCCTTGTTTTTACCTCCGTGGAGTGGACACATTTACAATCAGGCAAGTATAAAACTCTGTACTCAGCTCAAACAAATGACTAAATATAGTTTTGATAGCATACTTTATTTTAATCTAAGAAAAATGATTAAATTCAAAGTTTAGAAATATAAAAGATTATCCAAAAGATTGTAACTATTTCTTGAAAAACATTGACACGTACTTTGAGCTGGTTTAGGGCTCCAAAGGCTTGTGTTTTACCTTTGCACAGTTTAAATAGCAAAAGGCTTCAAGAAATATCTTCACGAACATCCACAGACATCATACATGTGACATTGTTGGGAGACTGGAGGCCACGAAGATTTTTCCAACCCAAAGTTTATGTTGAGATGGCCACGTGGCTCTCACACTGAGTTCCACGTCCATCCTCCCAGTATTCCGTAGGCCCAGTGAGTGCATGCTGACCTCAGTCTCCATGCTCAGCGTGAGCATCTAGCTCCTGAGCTTCCCCAGAAGCCCACTAGATGGTCCCCACCAGCAGGCAAGTCCTCTTGCCCTGGAAGCATGGAACTACAGGAAGCTGAGCAGTCCCCCTTGGCTGCCAAGTCACACCCCTGGCACAATTTGGGCTGGCTCTGCCTTCTCTAGGGATACTGTAATTTATTCAGTGGACAGTTTTCCCTTTCAGTGTGCTGGAGGTTAGGCCACAGCAGGATGGGACAGCCACATGGGAGAGAAGCAGGTGTCCAGAGGGCTGAGCCCACCAGACTAAACCAGCCCTGCCTTCATGGGCAGGGTGGGACTCAGACTCACTCTTTAGGTGGGGTCCTATAGGGTGCTAGCCCTCAGCAGGAGCCACTCTGGAAATCTAATGGTGTGATTAATGGAGCCCAAGCCCAACCTTAGGAAGCTTGAAATGGAAACACAAACTATAGGAAATGCTCTTTCCTACCAGGGCACTATCTGCCCTGAATGTCTGGAGTTAGTGGTTGCATGATTCGTGGTGTGAGAGATTTCTGAAAAGCCAAACAAAGCAGACAAACAAAATCCCAAGAAACAGGCCAATCTGTGCACAGTAACTGCAGCACACTACACATTGATATTACAGGAGTCACCAAAGCTGGGCAAGTGGACAAGAAACAGTGCAGGGCCAGGGCAGAGGGCTGCAGCCATGCCTTCCAGAAGGAGGTGTCTGCTGCTGCTGCAGATGGGTGTCAGGCGGAAGCGCAGCTCACAGGCACTCAAAGGCATCTTCGTGGAACAGCTTTCCAAGGTCGCGAGAAGGCACATACATTGTATGTGATTAATTTTCTGAAGCCAGCCTTCCATTTTCACAGATTAACACAGTCTGTTTAAATATCTCATTTCTACAGAGTGAATTTACATTTAAAGTACAAAGTGCAAATACTATATGTTTTTGGTTTTGGTTTTTAATTGCTCTTTGGTGAGGGAGATTCCCACATGTCTAGGAACTGCCTTGGGTATATAAGCGGTTCATCCTTGCTTTCTGGGCTGAAAAACAAGACAAAGAGTTGTCAGCTTAGAAAGTCTGTGCCACCCACCTGCGAGGTCTGCAGCCAGTTTCTGGGAATGAAATAGCCTGTCTGGTACCAGGGGAAAAGAGATATTTAAGAGCATATGAGAAAGGAAAGGGTGGCTTAGCTGTAAAGATTTATGAAGACATTTTGGATGGGACCTTCTTCACACTTTCTCCTTTGAAATACTCAAAATAACAGGAAAATGCATCAATTGAGAAAGTTAACGTTTCCTACAAATACAGTACTGTAAATTCACTATACATTAACTGTTCTGCACCATCTCCTAACACCTGGGATTCATTACACAAAAATGGTTTTGTAATCTAATTTGTGTTTCAAATTTGAAAAAGGCACAGTTGATTTCTTAATTCTCCTTTTCATCTTTTCCATGCACTGTTTCACCTAGGAACAAATGCAATGTGAAAAGTATGTTTACTATATTATTGATCTCTTGCTATAATTCAGAACCCTAACTTTCAATTAAAAGCAATTTAGAATGGAAAGGGAAGGCAACATACAATCTCCTAGGCTTGGTTGTCCAAGTGCACCAATTCCTACAAAATAATTTGACCCACTCTTCTGTTTTATTATTTGAAATAATTCAAGTTTAAAGGTTTTTTTTGTTTTGTTTTGTTTTTTGGTATCAGGGATTGAACTCGGGATCTAGTGCTTGCGAGGCAGGCACTAGAACCACTGAGCTAAATCCCCAGCCTCAAGTCTAAAGTTTGGCATTGTTGGGGTTGGCTTTCATTTCCCTTAATAAAGACTGGGGAGGTTAGGAGAAGGACACTGTGAGTCCTCTAAGTGAAAGTTTTGTTGTAATCAGTTATGGGTAAAGATAATCCATCAGTTAATAAAGGTGGGTACTGGGGCCAGGATTTAGCTCAATGGTTTCACCTCCTGTTTTGCAGGCGCAAGGACCCGAGTTCGATCCCCGGTACCAAAAACATAAAAATAAATAAAGGTGGGTAGATCCTGTCTCAAGGTCTGCTTGAGAGCACAGCTCTGACCCCTTCTGAACAGGGCAAGGAAGACAGCTCGCCTCTGACTACATAGCACCCTTGAGTCACACTATGAGGGTCTCCAGTGACCATTCTACTTTTCAGAGAACATGCAGAGTCCTCAGTCCTGCTGTTGCCAGCAAATCGCAGCCCTTCCTCTGGGGTCCATGGCTGCAGCAGCGACCATGGTAAAGATGACATCAAATCTTCACCAAAGTGACTGCTGCTGTACCCAGTCTCCTTAAAGGAAGCTGCAGAGACCACGCTTGCTGGGCTTTCTCTCTAGGAGAAGTGAGGAGTTTATTTAAAACTGAGTGAAGCACACGTGTGCCCGTAATTGTCATTATCTAACAAAAACAACCCCTGGGAAGTCTTTGGTCACAGCTGGTAATTGCTTTCAGGCCAGCTGCATTTTCAAGTGTAAGTGATTTGCAGTGGGATTTAAAAAGTTAAAACCATAAACATTTGCTGAACAAAGGAAAACGAATCACACATCTTTCCCAAATGAAATAGTTTTAAATTACATCCAAGGTGTGTGTTGGAGGTCCCCACTTAAAACCCACAACAAAAACAGGGGCTGCCTTAGGGAAAGCAGGCCTGACATCAAACAGGTGCAAAAAAAATAAATAAATAACAAATTGACTCCAGGTCAGAAATAAAGAAGGCTTTTGCCTGGCTCTGAGGGAGGGAAAATGAATTCACTCATGTTTGTCCCCTGGAAAATGTTCTCCAGTTAGGCCTTGGCATGGGATTCTAGGGAGAGACACCACAATTGTGTCCTCTAATTGCAAGTATAGAGATGTGGACTAGAAACACAAATGCATGTTTATCAACACACAGCTTGAAACAGAAACAGCTGCGGGAGTTGAACACTGTCTTAATTGGGGCTCTAGAAGGGGGTGTTCATGTGTACCCCAGAGTGTCTCCTTTTTCTCCCACCTTATTAAAATATAAGAAATCAGAACAGCTGTTTCTACAAAATAAGCAGATTTAGAAATTCTTAAAATAATAAAACAGTCAACAAATGAAGCAAAATCTTTACATCAATGGTTCAGCAGTTTGGAGATATCAGGTAGGACTGGGCAGGGCAGTATTCAGGGCAGGGTGCCTTGCCTGTATCTTTTCCCCTCCTAAAGGTACTGTCCCCTCCAAGTCCACATCACTCTGAATCTATGTTGCTTATAAGGAAACCAGCCAATTATCAGTGCTAAAATAGAGGTACACTCACCTGTCTATTAGCAGTGCCTTCAGCATTACCTCTGGGGGCTACAGGGGAAAAATTATTAAAAATCAAATCCTCTATATTTAACAACACATACACTATGATTTCAGAAAGGGGTCTGTGCCACTTGAGGAGGGTGTCACCTACACATTAAATATCCATATATATCTCTATCTATCTATCTATCTATCTATTAATGCCTAGAAGTTGTGGATTATAAAAGTCACTGTGCAAGCATTTCTGAACAATACAAACACTCTAGTCCATTTTAGAAGACTGTTTCATTTTGTCCAGATTCTGAGGGTAAATCCACTAACCAGGGAATGACCTTCCAGGATTCTGTCCTGTGAAGGAAGCCCTGAGCCACATGCCAACACACACTCTTTTATATTAAAATTAGGAATAATTAACATGTTTGATTCTGAGAAATTTTTCCCCAGTTTTCTAGTAAATTGAAGCTGGAGGGACAGTGCTGTTTGATCTGCGGGAGAGGCCAGGGGCCTCTGCTTCCTTTCTCAGTAAATTTGTCCACTCCTGCGAGGAGACTGCTCAGGAAGGCCTTCTGCCTCTGCTGCTTCCTGGTCACATGGTCTTTGCTGCGTGATCTTCCTCTCCCACCGATGGCTCTCTTCCCTTTCTCTTTGGCTTCCAGAACATTCCTCATACCACTGGTTTCCTGGGACCTGCAGGAGGCTACCTTCCTCCTTCCTCCCTGACCCTTCATGGCTGGGGCCTCATCTCCTTCCTCTCCACACTCCTGGGCTGGTGGGCTGTGACCTACATGGTTCTTAGTAAAAGGTCTTCCTGATATCTCCAGGTGCACACACCACTAGGCCATGGATGGGATCGGATCCTTAGCTTCAACAACACTGTCTGCATTTGGGTTTTTCGTAGTCAATCTCAAGGGAACAGGACAAACTGGAAGCTACAACTGATGACTGATTGATTGACTGATTGATTGGTTATACTGGAGATTGAACCCAGGACCTTCACTCTGAGCTAGCCCCAACCCTTTTTTATTTTCTATTTTATTTTATTTATTCAATAACTTTGAGACAGAGTCTCCCTAGATTGTCCAGGCTGAGCTCACACTTGTGATCCTCCTGCTTCAACCTCTGAGAGTGCTGGGATTATAGCATTCACCACCACGCGGGCTTTCTACCTTCTCCCTGAAAACTTCTGTCTTCCTTCTTCCATTTCTAGGACAAGGTCGTTGGCTATGAGCTGCTCAGGGCAAACTCCTGGGATCCCTGTCCTGCTGTGCTTCCTACAGCCCCCCACTGCCAGCACACACTTTGGCTGCCCTCAGCTCTCCACGCCCCCTCCACCCCTCTGCTCCACTGTGTAAACTGCTCCACTCATTGAGACCTGCAAATCCTGCCCACTGCCCTCCTTCAGCCCCTCCTCTCTGGACTGTCCACACAGGGACCCACGAATCCCCTCAAAGCATATCCAGACAAGTCCTTCCTACCAGGCTTTCCATGGCTCTTATTCAAAGACTTGGCCAGGGTCTCCTCTTGTCCTGTCTTCCTCGGGCTTGCTGGGCATCCACTCAGTGCCTGCTGAAATGCGCCCACCCTCCCCAGATCTTCTGCACTTTCTCACACTGACCACAATGTCCCTGTGCATCCCCTCGCCACCTTCTTTAGCACCAGTCACCCTGGGCACTGGTGTGGGTCTCGTTTATGCCATGTCTTGCTTCCATCCTGGACTGTGAGCCTCAAGAACACAGGTTGCATCTGCTTTACTGACTGTCATTTCTACAATATCCAGGTCAAGAGCACTCAGTAAACAGTGTCCAGATGAACCAGAACGTGGAAGAAGCTTTTGTTATCCCAACTCTTCCACTGACTGTTGATTTCTATCTATGCAATAAAAATCACTGAGAATAAACAGCCACAGGTTATACATGTCCTTTACTTGATTTCTCAATGTTTAGAATAAAGTATGAACCATTGGATAATTAGCAAAAGTACAGAACACAAAAGAAATGGATAATAACTTAGATACTTGGTATGTCAAAGTTGTCTGTTCCTAAATATTTAGATTTTTACTGACTTTCAACTATTTCAAGTTATACAAGACAGGAAAAATAACTGACATGGAGAAAGAAAAATGTAGGAAGAAAGTTTGAAAAATTCTACAAAGGAAATGAAAAAGTTGAAATATCAACTTAATATGCATGTTGATCTCCTTTGCTATTTTTAACCAAATGTCCAATTTTTCAAATACTAGCTTATTTGGGTTGATAGAGGAAGAGGGGGATCAGATTTTTCTCTTTTTTTGTTATAAGACAATAAAATGCAGACATGTTTGTTTTGTGAGAGGGGCCTAATGGGGACCACTTAATGTTCTACAGTAGTTTAAACTTTCTCCTTCTTCCCCAGGAAAGATTGCCTGTGCTCCACTGCACACTCACCACTTCCCTGTGACAGTAGCGCACAGTCCCCACTACTACCAGCTCCATCACCAGTGGACAGGATGGCAGGAAGAGACCTCAGACTCCAAGCTTCACAGTGGGGCTCCGTCTCTCCAGAACTGACTTCTCAAAGGGACACTGCAAGAAGTGCTCCCAGCCATGGAGACTCAGCCCCAACCTAACTAGTTTTCATAATGTTAGGTGACTGTCACAGCAAATTCTAGGGACAGCGACCCTAGTGGGACAGACTTCAGTACCTCATTGTGACCTCTCGGGAGCTACAACCCAGCTCAGCTTGGAGATCCCACTTCCCACCAGAGGTTCGCACAAGAGCACACAGAGAACACACTGCATCTGTGCTCTGGAGCACACACTCCAGAACATTTTCTGGAGCACAGGCTCTGGGACACGCATGTTAGAACTTGGGATTACCCTTAGCTGCTCTACCAAAGAAACTGATCACAGAATCAGAGCTAATCATCAGCAGTGTGAGGCATCTGCCAGCCCTGTCAGCACCCCCGGGGCACAACTGCAAAAACCAAGGTGCTACAAAGCGAAGTGGATTTTCCACCACTGGCCTGTGCCAGAAAGCACTGTCTAGGGCCCGCTGCCTGAGGCACAGCTCTGGCTTTCCCACATGTGTTGCCTCTAGGTCTCTCGACTCTACCTGCCCTAGGACTTTCTCTGTTCCTGGAGCCACTTGTTAGTTGGGCCAGGCTCAGGAAGGACAATAGTCAACTGCTAATAGTCAAAGCCACTAGCATAGCTTGTCTGGATAACAGCAATTATTTATTGCCGACAACTGGCTGGAGTCCATGGCAGGGTTGGTGACTTATTTCCAACAGATCCCAGAATCAGAAGCAAAACACTTTTGGAAAGTCAGCCACTGAGAACAGAGCACCCAAAGGCCCGGCTTCAGGCCATGCTCAGCTCCTGCCCTTGCAATGCCTTGTGCTCCTGAGCAGGTGTCAGTCCCTGATGGCCTACTGTGAATCCTAAGGCCTATCTGTTACCAAAGGCCGACAATCAAAGGATAGGTCTCATTTCTCCTGCATCCTCAGACCATAAGGCCATCTCTGAAACCTGGGAAGGAAACCACATTAACAGCAAGACGAGAAAGTACAGTTAGGAGGAGAGGTGCTCACTGTGGCGCTTCCTGGTGCTTGCTGACCCCTCCTCCTGCGCAACGCCCAGGCAGCCCATCAGCTCCCGCAGGGAGAGTGAGTGGTCACTGTTCACGTCGCAGTACTCAACAAACTTCTTTACGCACTTTTTTGGCTTTGACTTCTTCCGGAGGAATCTCTTGAAGGGTTTGATCTCCTTCTTGCCGATGTCTCCACTGGCATTTTTGTCAAGCAGTCTAAAGTACCAGTGCACCACCCTCTCCTCCAGGGTGTGGCTGGGGTCAGGTTCCGAGAGCCTGGAAAGGCAAGACCTAGTCAGAACTCTAGCAAAGCCCCGCCCTGCCTCCCAGCAAACTCACAGCAGACCTGTGAACACCTGGCCAAGAATGTGACTGGGCAGAAGGCTTTCATATTTGTTTCCGGGTCACAAATGCTGCAGGGAATGTGTGCACAGGAGTTGCACCCTTGGCCACATTCTTAAGGATGGAAGCCTCATCCTGAATGCCATGCACCTGTGACCAGAGCCAAGGGTTTCTGCCCTCTACACGTGGCCATTTCCTGACAGGTATGTGGGAGACACATAAAGGTATGAATTTTCAAAGATGCACATTGAAGAAATTTTGAAGCTGTAACTAGACAATTTCACTTAGATTTCAAATAAAGTTTGACATTTTAAAAAATAAATAAGTAAAATCTCCCAAGAATGGCTGGCACTGGAATCAGATCTTGAAGTTGTACCAACAGCAACTGCACCTTCCTGCCAATGTGAAGGATGAGTGTTCAGCCCTCTTTGCCCTTTCCCACCAGTCCTAAACCTACATTGCCCTATTTGGTGAATTCTGCCCTCTGAGAAGTGAGTGAGACTGTGGACAGGACACAGGGACACAGTTCTCTAACACCACTGCTTGTTTCTCCAGTGTGCAGGGTTGCTTCTCAGATGGCAGTTCAATTACAGCTTTTAGGTAAGAACCATCTTTCCAAGAGTATGAGACAAAAAGTTCAAATCTAGATGATGCTTGCCTTATTTAATTTATTAATCAATAGAGGCATTTTTCACTAGCATTGTCTTTTTACTACTAAGTCTTCTTTAACAAACACAAGATGAGTGGCTTTTGCTAAGAAGACCTAAGGCTTTAGAGCATGTTGGATAGAAGAGTCAGTCAACGGTATGGGGGCCAAAGGATGGAAGATCAAAGTGTCAAGGAGATGAAAATGTTAAAATATCCACCAGAAATTGTCTTCAAATGCACAAATAAATTACTGCTAGTTCTGAGAGGGAATACCTGGTGCTTGAGACTCTCTGGCAACTACACTGGGGGTTTTGGACAGGAGCTTTCCCTTCAGCTCTACCACAGTCAAATAAGCTTCCTGATCTCAAATATCTAACAATCTGGCCAACTTTGAACCTTCCAGATCCACTGGGGTGCAGGAGCTTCTTGTAGCTGAGTGCAGCCTACCTGCCAGATGCCGAGGAAGGGTCAGAGACAGCGTGGACCATGTCTGTGGATAGTGCATCCAACACGCTTGTCAGAAACTCATGCTTTTTGGCCCCAGGACATCCTGGAAAAAAATGAACACTTTTTCATTGTTCATAAACTATGACTAAGTATTGTTCTCTATATTGGAAAAAGATGATTTTTAGTATTTGGAAATTGAGGTGCTGGGCTACCTCAGTATTAATGAGCTGGTGTGAACACTTCTAGACTCATTGCCATAAGTGGACATTGATTTTTGGAATCACAGCTCTGATGAAATGCAAGGTCTAACATTCACTGAATCCCTGGGTGAGATTAAGATTCATGGGCTTTAGCATCTTACTGATCACAGCAGCAGTGCAGAGTAGACTCTCCCAGTGAATACCCGAGGCACCAGTGTCAGAAAATACATCAGGATCTCACCCAGAAATGGCCCTCTGGAGCTCTGTACCAGGTGGGCTGAGCCCAGAGGCAGGCTGGCCATGCTCTGAGTCCCTCCACAGCTCCAGGAGGTGGGAGGCAGCTGTCTCTTAGGTGAGAGCTACCTCTGTGCTCTTGGAGCCTGCAACTAATTCAGCAATTCAGTTTATCTGAAGCTTAACATTCCATAGTGTATTTTATAAAGAAAGTACCACTCAGTGACCAGCCTCTTCCCTCTCCCTCACCCCCATTTAGGATTCCCTGAACTCTTTTCTTCCCCTCCATGTCTGAGACCGTCTCCTCAACCTGAATTCAAGATCACTTAAGAGACATTGGCTCACGTTGGGGTCCTTCCTCTCTGCAGTGCCTCCATGGCCCCTCACTGCCCAGGCCTTCATGGAACACCTCCTGCCTGGACACTGGCTTCAGTCCAGACAACTACCAAGAAGTTGGAGACCCTCAGGCGATTGCTTTCTTCTTCTAGTCTATGCAGATATAAATTTCCAAGGCAGTCATGACAAACTTAGTTTTTCATTGTTTGCATTTTGTTAAACACAATGAAGACCTTAGAAGAGTTTGATAGAAAGAGAAGAAAGACACAGACAAGAAAAGAAAAGAGAAACAGAAGTTTCTGGGCTGCTACTACTTACTGCCACTGTGCCCTTCCAGCCTCCAGGACGTCTTTAAGGGCTGGTCCTCCTCAGAGTGGCTTCCAAGGCTCTGCTTAGACAAGCTTAGATGGACTTCTAAGCCTTGGAGACCACCACTAGTATCAGAACATCTACCTAGAGTTCAGACCATGTGAATAGTAAAAAGCTGACTTTTGCTAAATTAGACTCATGGTTCTAACAAGGAAGACTTTAGCTGGTCTCTCTAAAGAATCTCAAAATCTCCAGACTCTGTCCAGGAAGAAAAAGACAAGAAGATCTGCAAAATTCACAGCAGAAAGATATACTATGTCAGAAATCTTTCAGAAACTTCCCGAAGCCCTTCTTGCCCTGACTCCCAGTGACAGCTTGGCTGTGGCCAGGGCAGGACTGACCATCAGAGAAACAAGAAAGCAGCAGAGAGGGTGAAGTGCCCCAGAGCACCAGCCTGGAGCTCAGTGACCAGGAGAGGACAGGAGGAGGAGGCAACAGGCAGGTGTCAGGGTCCAACAGGTACAGCTTCAGAGCCTGGTGGGTTCCCCATCCCCATTATGCCTGAGAGTTTCCTAGAGTAGGTGAGGAAAGGTACGACTGTCTGGGAAAAGGATCATTTACTAGATAATTCTAATTACTGAGCAGTGTTTAGAAGGAGTATAGCTCCCAGCTGTATGACGAGTCAGACTTACCGGGCTCTACCCAGGTGGGTTTGGGCTGCTAATTAATCATGTCTTCTCAAATGAATGAAGGAATGCAACACAGTATCTTTAGTTAGAAAATAATACACATTCATTATAAAGCAGCAGACTATGGCATATAAAACTGTAGGACTTCTTAGTGTAGTAAGGAAAATATAACCTGAAAGTGTGAACTTCTGAAATATGAGACATTAAATCTGTCTTCCCTGAGTATGATTTTTAGTTGTGGCATAAAACGCTTTCTTGTGATACACAAGTCTCTCTGCAAAGGAATTTATTTCACAGTTGAGAAGTACTTCAGTCCCAAAAGACTATTTTAACTGTCATTTTCAAAGACACTAAACTTCATTTTGAGTAAAGACATGGAAAAAAGAATAAGGATTCTGCTCAGGAAGGCTAGAGATAAATTTGGTCTGGTTCTGCCTCATACTCTGGGGACGCACAGGCTTGGGCTGAGGGACAGAGAGGACAAAATGGATCCACCTGTTGGGGAGGCTCTGGCCTCGTGTCCTGTGTGCTCTGCAGTGTTCATGCCAGGCTCCTGTGAAGAATCGAGTCAGACCCTTTCTCCCCAGCTGAAGTCTGAGAGTCCTAATGCCTGCTGTCACTTGACAGGAGGGTGGAGAATGCTTTACCGAAGGCTTTGACAGGTACAAACGTCGCAGCTTCAGGAGCAATGACTAGAGACACAGGAAGAGCGTGTGTCATCTTCACCTAAGCTGAGGTGGCTTTCTGGACACCAGGGTGGCCTGCAGGACTGAGGGATAGGGAAGAAGTCCAGAGACAGAGGGAAGCAACTCTGGGGTAGGAAGTGTTGGGGCTAGGAAGACCAACCAACTGAGCTTTAAAGCCTCTAACAATGGGCTAGAGTCTGTAAATCTGGGTCCCTTGGTCTTACACATATTGTGTCAAATGTACAAAAAAGTAATACAGGTGACAAATGAATAAAAAGCAGCAGATAGTAAGGTAACCCTCTTGTCTGACTTTCTCAGGACCTCGGGGGTTTGCGCTTGCCTGACCCAAGCTCACTCGCTCTGTGTGACTAAGCTGTTCTCCTGATCATACTCCAACTCCTCTCTTCAGCATTCATGGACTCTCCTTCCAGTCATGAGTTAGTCTGACTCATCCACGAGGAGGTGAGTCTGTCACCAGAAATGAGATGCCCTCCAGGGACAGGTAGCGAATGTGTTCCTCTGACTTCTGACTCTGAGTTGTCCCATTATCTCCTGAAAACTTTGGGGTGCTGAGGTCTCCCATGCACACTTTGGTCCTAGGTCCCAGGAATCTCAGACCAAGGTTTATAGACTTGGTCAGAACTTGAATGGGAAAATTGGGTTTCCCATAAGACCTACGTGCTTAACTGAGAAGAGAGAGAGAAGAAGACAGAGCAATAGAGAAAGAGACAGAAAGAGAGAGAGAGAGAGAGACAGACAGACAGACAGACAGACCAACAGAGAGTTAGACAAAGAGACAGGGACAGAGAGATCAAGACAGAAACAAACAGAGAGAGACAGAAAGAGAGAGACAGAGACAGACAGACAGAGAGAGACATAGAGAGTGAGAGATGCCCAAGTTGTACATCAACTTGATAGAAAACCAAACCTGAATTGTGGTCGAGTCTGTGAACTTCTGGAATGGAAGGCAGTGCCTGGCATCCATCAGGAAATGTACTCCAAGCACGGACCAGTACTTCTCATTGCTCCAGATGCCTTGAGGAAACTGGGACAGCAGACCCTGACCTCTCTAGACTCCTGTTTCCTTTCTGAGGAAGATACCACTGAAGGGCTAGCCCAGTGACCAGGTAGAAAGCCCATGGGTAGCAACAACAGCAGGTGCAAAGACCTTGGCTCTGCAGCATGCCCCACTGCCACAAAGCCACCTCCCAAGATATATGGGCTCCATACAGGGATTCAGATTTTTCCCTAGAAAAACCAGAATGCTAGGGAAGATGTGGAGAAAAGCTACAGTCTGATTCTAGTGCCATGAGTGTCAAGATGCTTTTCTGTTGGCCAAAGAGGGATGGTAGAGCACCAGAAAGCTGGAGGCCAAGGCTGGCAGTCCAGGAAGAGTGGGATGGAGAGCAGAGTGTAGACATGGGGACACCTGAACACAGGTGTGCAGAGGAATTCCAAGAACATGGCCTTTGGCACAGTCCCCAATCATTTTTATAGAGTAACTTGAATCCTCTATTTCTGCAGGCCCATAATGTGAAAAAGATGAAGTGGCTGAGTTCCCTAGTTCCTCCATGGGGCACTGTTGTCTGTCCTCATATGGAATCCAGGCCTTCTCAGCTTCACTTTCCATGCAGTGTGGACATGAGAAAGAATTGAACAGAGTTAAGCAAGTTTCTTTAGGCATTCTGCATTGAGATCCATGAGTGCCTAGAGATTGCAGGAGGTAAAGTGCATCTTTATAAACCTTATAGCTCATAGGTCAGCCCTGTGGAGCACTACAAATGCTCCTCACTGCATGGCCTGGGCACCTCATGACCTGTGTGCAGGTCATGATGATAGATGTGCTTTGCAACAACTGTATGACTGGAAAAGCTTCCATGAACAGGGTGAGAAGCCTATGGGGCCTCTTCACACTTGACAAAGCCCATGAAGGCAGCAGTGAGAAAAGTTCCATTGTCACATATACCTTCTCCATATTTCTGTACTTTAAATTTTTTCATATTTTCCAATATTTTTTAATTATTTTAAACAAAGGCTTTGGACTGAGTCTTTGAGTTCATACATTATGGATGAAAATCAGCACATGGTTGGGAGCTCAGGCCCGAAAAGACTTGAAGGAGCTTCCAAGGGAAGATGTGGTCAGGGAAGAGTAGACTGGGACAAGAGTGCAGGATTTTTCAGGGTGCATGGGATGCCCACAGGTTCCCTGAGCTTGGGCACTGTGCTATGCTAGCTCACTTGTCCGTATTGGCAAGGCCAACTGCTCGAGGGCAAGCATGTGGGAACACCACTGGAACCTGCAGGAGACCCTGTGCCCTGCTAGGCTCTGCTGAGCACTGGGTCTGTCTGGTGTCTTTCCTACTCTGAGGACTTTGCTCTTCCTCTGTATGTCATATGGTAGAAAAGCAACCTGCTTCTGTGGGTTTTCTGCTGAGCCAAAGCTTTTGAACTGTTCCAAACTGACAGTGAATATTGTAGGTAGATTGTTTTTAAGTCTATGCAAAAGAAGTAGCACTATTACAGCACATTGAGTGTGATTCTCTGGTGACACAGCCCTGAGGTCTACCAGTAATCCCTTGTTCCCACTCATCCAGATGGAAGGGTCCAGCTACACAGGATAGAGACATAAGCTTGTCCCCAGTAAGGCGA